CTGAATGAGGTCAACACTGAGGTGGAAAAGACTGGGGTGAATGAGGGGCTGGGCAGAAAGAAGAGATGAATGTGATATGAGGATTAGTTGTTAAGATGCTGTTCACAACTTCCTCCTGTGCAGTATGAAGTCTTGAGGTACAGGCTGAGGTGAAGAGGAGCTGCCAGGAAATATTACCTTTCTGGGTTGGTTGGTTGTTTTTTAGTCTCTGAAATAAGGGTGTTTGTTATCCAAAGACAACAAATGGAAAATGTTGGAAAATGAGGCTTCTGGTGCTTTGCATAGAGCCTCAAAACAAGACTCAATAAAGTCACATGCTAAGTGAATAGCTGCCTAGAATTCATTTCCTAAAGGTATCTTAATTATTCACTAGGATATAACCCAAGTGCAGCCATTTCACCAGTGTTATTCAAGCTGCTATATGGAGGCTGGAAGTCAGATTCCTGCTTTTTCCCAGAACATGCCAAGAAGATAAGGGAGCTGAGGAATCTTAGGCAGGTTTGGAACCTGGCTTCTGGCTCCTGTAACTTCCTGCACAGTACAAAATGCAGGAGGCAAACCAAAAAGAACCTGCATTTCTGGCCCAGCGCATGGGAGAATCTCTTGCATGGGATGAAAGAAGGTGCAGGGCTGAGGAGTGGTATGGTTACAGGTATGTGAACATGCAGCATTTAGATTCAAGTGGAGACAGGTCCTCTCCTGCATGTGAATATGACTCAATATTGAAATGGGAGCCGCCCGTGACCCTGATGCCAATAGCAATGTTTGCTGCTGTGATTGTTGCACATGCAGGTACAAGCAGGGCACTTCTGATTTTCAAGTACTGCCACTGCAGAAACGGAACCCTCTACTCTCCAAATATACCTTGCTTTCTTTATGCTGCTGTTTTGTGGGAAAAACATTCCTATCCATGTCTCAAACTGGGAGCAGTGCTCGCTCAGAGAAACTGGAGCCCAGAGTCCCCAGGGAGAGCTAGGGGGCCTTTGCTTTGGGGGGCAATCCCCTAGGCAGCTGGCAGGAGGTGGGAGCACTGTCGTGGGGCAGGATTGGGCTTGCACAACAGCTACTCATACGAGTGCACACTGGAGCCAGAGAGGAATGGTAACCAAAGCCTGAACTGAAATCTCTTTTTGCCTTCATATAAAACTTAAAATAGGGTAATTGCAGCATTCCAGTTCACTGAAGTGTGACAGGGGCTATCAAGTAGCTTTGTATAGTGTTTCTACTACACATGTACATGCAAAGCAGGCAACTTTTTCCTCATGCAGGGAAATCTTTGGAGGGAATTTTGAAGGAAACAATTTCTGCCAGGATTACCTCACAGAGTTTTAACTTAGATGTGTATTTCTTTAGGATGATTCATCTTGTTTCCTCTCAGTATGTGAACCCACAGGAGGTTTCAGCTTTACGCACTCTAACTCAGCGGGTTAATCTCAACGGATTACCCGTATCATGAATTAACTGTAACGTAGGCAAAAATTATATAGCACTGTTCATGTAATGCTGTGTGGATTTACAGTTCAGGCAGCTCAAAGTCAAGTCTCACTGAACGGCACAGTTAATAGCATCAAGTTCTTCCTCCTTTTATTTTCCTGAAATTACCCTGCACACATGAAAGTTTCTCATACACAGACACCCCCAGCAGCTCTCTACATCATCTCTGGTGCTTTCAGTAGCCTCTGGGAAGCCCCTCCCAGATAGATGTAAGGAGAGGGTCCAAAGGAGAAGTGCACGCTTGAGTGAATAATCTCTGAACCCTCCACAAAGTCATCTGACGCCCCCTGAAGCTGAACATTTCATCTACCATGGAATTTTAAAGAAAGCCTGAGGCTGCATTTCTTTAAGCAGTTGAGCTGCTCTAACAGCCTGTTGCCTCTGAAAGGAGTTCTTTTATCCCCCATCCCCTTCGTTTTGTGGCTGGCCCTTCCTTCCATAAATTTATTTGACCCATTACCCAAGAAGATAGCCACCCACATTCTTTTTCCTAATTATTTTTCCACTAGGCTAACAAGCTCTTTATGCTAATGGAGCTGTAAGATAACACCAGGAGTGGGCTGGGTGGTGAGGAGCAGAGCAGGAGATATACAAGTGGACTCCTTGGCAGGGGCAACCCAGGGAGGAGCTCATCCCCCTTGGTGGGATCACACCTGCCTGGTGCCGTTTGAGGCGCAGCTTGGCTGCCTCTGGAGCAGCATCTACTTCCCTGGCACTGGTGCAGGCTCTTGGCAGATTCCAGGGTGAGCCAGCCACGGACCTTAACTGAACAGGCAATTTAATATCACAGAGAAGACAAGTAGGGATTTTTTTTCCAGCTTTAATCCCCTAGGCCAGCTATCTGTGGGGCTGGAGAAGAGCCAGGCCAATACAAGGGAGCAGGCAAGAAATGCAACCAGGTCCAGTGCTGTCTCCAGAAATGCTGAACAACCACCTCACCTGTAGCTTCCCTGAGTCTTGCTTCCTAAGGGAAGCCTACAACAGACTTTCAAAAGATGAGCCTAAAAACTGAGTTACCTAATCCTGCAGACTCTTAATGGTTATAAACTCATTTTGTGCATTTCACAGAGCAATGAAATTTTCTCCCCATACGCTTCTGGGTGCCCCGGGTGCTCTCACGGCATCGCTTGCCAGCTGGCCCTGCTGCTCCACAGATACAAATTGGAGGGCTGGTTGAGTAAGGGCTGGAGGATGGAATCCTTTGCACAGTAGCTGTCCCCACCCAGGCTGCACTAGAAACTTTGCTCAGGGCTAGATAGGAGGCTGCAGAAACATGGTCTCTTTCTTTCAGCAGATCTTTTGAGCTATTGGGAGCAGTGCCTTTTTGACAAACCTTATCTCTGTGTAAGTAGTTACACAATGTTCAAAGGAGAGGCTTGGATGATGCAGAAAGCTGACTTTGTTAATGAGGGTAGGTTTAATTGCAGAGCAGATGTGTGATCAAGCTGGGGAGCCAGCACCAAGCACAGCCTTTTAGGACAGAGGTGACAAGAGTGGATACCCTGTTAGCATGGCTGGGTCAGGACCTTTCTTGGTGCAGGTGTTTGATCACCAACTTTAGAGGAAAAAAGCTTTATTTTTATTTCTTAACATGATTAATACACTAGCTTGAGGGTGGAGATGTGGTTGGATCCTGGGCTTGTTGTTGTCAGTCATGAGGAATTAGGCTGCAAACAAGCACAATTTTCTGAGGACATTTTTGAAGGTGCAGAATCTCCCTAAAGGCAGATGTGTACGTGACTCTTCCCCAGCATGCAATTATGGGATGGAGGGTTAATTCGCACAGGCATAAGGAGGAGGTCTCTAATCCATGTATCGTGTGTAGAACAGATTGATAACAGCTATTATTTTGAATGCTGGTGATGCAACAAAAAGCTTTTTCTTTATGTCTGATTGTAGGAATGACAACCATTCATAAGTTGCTCTTGTGGACAGTTTTGTTATCAAACACAGGCAGTCAAATACTGTGAGTCAGTATCTTCTACCATCTTTCCCATCCATCTCCCAAATTAGGAGTCACTTAAGAAGAGTTCATTAAAAAGTAGCACAGAGTTCTTATCTCAATTGCCTTCTGATTTCTGAACGCTTACACTACATTCTCACACTTCACCTCAAACTACACTGCTTTCCTAAATGAACATGGTGATTGTGACTCAGAGAGATAAGATTTAAAAAAAGAAATGTATTTCCAAGAAATACAGCCAGTCCCACTGGCTTCTACCTTACAAATAGTTTAGCAGGTCTTGGGGATCTTCTCTCCTTACTATCACCTCAGCCCAGAGTTGTTTGTCTGGACTTAGAGCAGTTACAACTCTTCATCCCAGCAGTGGTGACAGAATGGTCTCACATCGCATATCCAAGAAACCCAGTTACCTGAGTTTCTCCCATGTGTAGTCAAAAGAGTTGCCTGACACTGATGAGGGGGCCTTGGTGATGGTATCTGCAGGCACAGATGGCATTTGCCTTCTGGAAGTAGAAATTCTTGGTCCTCAGGTGAGAGTGAGCCAAGGGGATGAGTTGAACAGGATAGAAATGCCTGAATATAGGTGAACAGTCCTCAAAGGGCAGAAAATATGGTAGGACTAAGCCAGAGGTGAAGGGCTCAGGGAAGAGCTGGCATGGAAAGGACTGGTGGGACAGCATTGTAACTTTATTATTGCCTTTGCCCTCTGGGGGCCATAATTAACACATGTGGGGAGTTACAGTCTGCTGTGCCAGTGCAGTGCTGGGTCTCATGATCTGAGTTACCCCATCATCCCAAACCTCTTCTAACTCAAGAGGGCTGTCTGGGCAGGGGACACCAGGAAGCCCCAAGGTCCTCTGTGCTCCTACATCGGTGCCCCTGAGGTCAGAGGCGATTTCCCTGCTGTGCTCAGAGTTTGTCTCAGGGGAGGGCACTTAGCAGATGCTAGCCCTGGGGCTGTGCTTGGTCTCAGCCCATCTCTGAAACGACGTTTTGGATGCCGTGGGCCTGCTGCAGCTGGTGCAGGTGCTGTGAGGGAACCTGCAGGCTGCAGTGCCCTGTGCTGAATGTGTCCTACCTCTGAGCTCTTCAACATGCAGCCAAGGCAGGAGGGAGGAAACATCCCCCAGCAGAGGCTGCACAGGGGATATGGTGGTCTCCCCTCCTCCTGTCTGCTGCAGCCTCATGGGAGGTACACGCAGTGGCTGTTACGTTAGCCAGGAGCAGCAACTGTGACAAAGGGGTGACCCATGTGTGAGGCCATGTGAGCAGAGACTACTGTCCTGGCACTACCCTGGCTGAACCACCGCCTGTCCCCTGGGCACGGCACTGCAGGAGCTGGGGACTGCCATTGGCCTTGTCACAAGGTGTGGGACCACGTAGTGTGGGCAGCCCCTTGAAGAGGGCACGCCACGGTTGTTGCCCTGGAGGCAAGGAGGTCAAGGAGGGCCACCTCTTCGGGCCCTCTGGCTGCTGGAGCAGCAGGGAGAGGTGCCGGTGCAAGGGGTGATGTATCTGTCCCATCCTCGTTGCTGCTGAGGGCTCAGAAGAGGCCTGTGGAGCTGAGGGGAGCAAGGATGACCGGGGCATCCGGTGGGGTGAGGATGGGTGTTGTGTCCGATGTGGTGTCTTCAGCCTCGCTCTCCACATCCTCCAAGCTCTCGCTGACAGAGGGGATGATCTGCACCACCTTCTCCTGGAAGTGCACCTGCTTGCGTGGGGCTGCTGGGGCTGCTGCTTGGGCAGGAGCTACTGGAGCCAGGCTCCTGTCCTTGCTGCCCTTCAGGATGCTCTTCATGTGGCCTAGCAGCGAGCGGTGCTGCTCCTTCTGGGCCCCGTGGAAGGTGTAGGTCTGCTCAGTGTCACCAGCAATGGTGGGGGCCGTCCTGGTGGCTGAAGGGTCAACATACTGGCCCGCCTGGGGATGTGTCTCGTTGTGCCCTGGGCTCTTCCTCCTCTTGCTCAGCACGAAGTAGGCCAGGGCAGTGAGCACCAGCATGGACCCTGGGGAGAAGGCCATGTTGGCTGAGGGCTGAGGCAAGGCAAAGAACTCACCGAGCGGTGCTTGGTCTAGTTAGCTGAGCACCATCTGCAGACAGTTCAGCACCCCGCACATCCCCACCCTCTCTGGCCCTCGACAGACCATGTTCATCTTCCACCTGCACTAATCCCCAGCCCAGCATGGCTCCTCACCAGGGATGGTGACGTGCCAGATGAGGACAGGATGCAGGAAGCAAGCCACTGAGAGCAGCGTGTACCCCAGGAACTTCTGGAAGCTCCCCGGGCGTCTAGCTCGTTTCCAGCAGGCCTGTGCCAGGGACTCAGGCTCATATCTGGGGAGAGAAACAGAGATCCTTGTGGGACGGGCCACTCAGAACATGTAAAGAAGATATGGACCTGTCACACTTCTATATGGGCAGATCCTCACTCGGGTTTTCCAGAAAACTGGTGTGTTGGTCAGGGAAGGTAAGCAAAGCCTGAGCCTCTCCCACAGGGAGAAGAGGCCAGGGGCTACATCTGCCAGAGGTCAGTGTCTCAGGCCATCTTTCCTTGGTGTGTTTGCCCACTTGGCCATTCCTCAAGTACCTATTAGTGGAGTAGGGTGTTGCCTCTGAGCTACGAGGGCTTTTGAGTTTATGCTAAAAAAACACAGCAGTGGTCTGCCTCTGAGAAGCACAGAAGGATTTTCTACATTTTAACTTAGACACCTGTGCCACCTCTGGGAAAGGGATGCAGCTCACCCTGGGGATCTGGCTCTTCTTTCAGTCCTGCTCCCTTGTAGGGCTTTGTGCTGAATTTTAAGCAGGTGCTGCAGACCAGGGTTTGTTGTGCTGATGCTCAGCACCTTAGGGCACACGCTTGGGTTAAAACACAGGTTTAATTGGCTGTGGACATGGCCCCAGACACCTCCCCCCTGCCTGAGAGCCCTTGCCAAGGTGTTAGGTACAGGATCTTTGGTGTGACACTTCCAGCACAGCTAGGTCTGATGTTGGCTATAAGGGGCAAGTTGCCTTTGGAAGGTCTCACCAAGGCTGGAGAAGACTGTACAGGGTCTACTCACGTGAAGCACATCTCCAGGAACAAACAGATAAAGAAGAAGCCTTCACAGATGGTAACTGCAACCCCTGAAAAACTGAAAGGTGGAGCTGTCAGGGGGACAGGGCTGGGCTTAAGTATGCTCTTCAGGTGGCAGAAGGGGCATAAAAGACTAGGATTTCCTATCCAGTTCACAACGGAGTCTGTATACTGGTGTCTGAACACCCTCTGCTCTGGTTTGTGGAGGAGAGCTCAAAGTCCTTCTGTCCTCAGGGGGTCAACTTCTAGCCAGTGTCAATTCTGACCTGCCTAAGTCTGTAGTAGCATGGGTGATGCAGTAGCATCACATCATCTAACAGAAAGAGCTTACTTTTATGAAACCTAAATATGGAGATCTGAATTCCCCAAAGCCTCAGACATTGCTCCCTGCTGCTGCTGCAGTCTAGTCTAGTGCTACATATGATGGAGGAATCAAACATGTCACCCCCAGCAGGTCTGACTTCAAAGGCAAAAATACTCACAGAAGATAGAAAGCCAGGCTTTTGAACTGTCCTTGCTGCAGAGTTTCTACGCCCACACCGATCAGCACTAGAAAGAGAAGGTAGGAAAGATAATGACTGCAGGGTTGGTTCCCAGTTCTCTGGTGCCCCACCAGCTCCCGGTATCATAGAATCATAAAGGTTGGAAAAGACCTCTAAGACCATGTCCAACCATTACCCAACACTACCATGACCATTAAACCTTGTCCACAAGTGTCACATCTACATGGTTTTTTGAACACCTCCAGGGATGGTGACCACCATCAATCCTGGTTTCCCCAGGGACTGGTGAGTCTGCTCCTTCTGTGCTGTGCAGTGTGTTAGGACTGTCAGCACCAGTGATTCATACTGGCACACCAACCCAGGGATGTCAGAGTTGAATGCTGCCCCTAACATAAAGCCCAGAAAACCATTCCAGCTGCATCCCTACCATGGCAACCTTGCCACTGTGTGGGCTGGGAAGAGGTGCTCTGGGGATACTGGCTGGCCTTGGGCAGTGGGAGGAGGTGAGCAGTGGTGTTCTGTGTCCCTTCCATCCCTTGCCACTCTGCCCCATCAGGCTGCCACACGGATTTCCTTCCCACTGCCCCATCCGCCTCTGCCCCCTTGAAGTGCTGAGGTTTAAACCCCCAGCCCTGAATGAGGGTGGGCACATAGATGATGTCCACAACCAGGCAAGAAAGACCCTCCTGATTGGTTTTCACCCAGGGTCTGGCCAGCCTTGGGTGGGAACTGATTAGGAGATCACCGCCTGATGCCCCCACCTTCCACATTAACTAATTCCACCTCTATAAGAACTGTCTCCCACTACAATGGGGTTGGGAGGTTTGTTTACTTAGTGGATGTGTTGTATGAGGCTTCTGGCTATTGGAAGGGATCCCTGATTCTTCAAGGCAAGTGGAGTTCCCGGGATGGAAGGGCCAGAACATGAAGCTGTCTCTGAGTCCCTGCTATATAACTGAGCTCATGGCCTGGCTGCTGCCATCCCCCATGGTTTGGCTCCTTAGCCAGCTCACTCCCTTCTTCATGGCCATTGCAGTGGGTGAGTGCATTGCCTTGTTCCTCCCTCTGGTTGTCCAACACTTTGGATCTCTGGTGTGTGATGTGGTAGTGGAGGGAGGAGTTTGGCTGCTGGTCTGCCTGTTAATGATAACATCTTTCTGTGTTGGGCAAGTGGTGAGCAGAAGACCCCTCCAGGTCTGGGACCTCTCTGCCTGGGTCCCTGTGGTGCCTGCCAGCCTCATTCCCCTGCCCTCCCTGCTTGCCCAAGCCTCCTGCACCCAGCACATGGCTGCAGAGCAACAGCAGGACAGGGAACCATGCCAGCTGCCTCCACAAAAGGCTGTAGCCATGGCATCAAGATTCTTTGCTAGCCAAACAGAAAAACATATAATGGGAGCAGGCAGATTAAAACCAGGGAATGAATGTCCCCACAGTGCCCTGGCCAACACAGCACACTAGGGAGTCAGTTTAAGTGGGATTAAGAGTATTAGCAAGGCTAAAATGTTCCTTGGACTGGCTGTTGGGTGCCAGTAGCTTCACGGGATGGAAAATTTCCTTCAACATCCTTCAATTCCCCAAAATGGAGCAGAAATGAAACGCCTTGCACCAGCTGCAGTAAGTTGGTTGGTACGTGACTGGCTGGTCATGGTGCATGACCACCAGTGGTGTGGAGCTGAGCAGAACTTGGGTCTCATGGCCAGGGTCTCGCTCTAGACAGTCACTGCACTCCTGTCTGTGTTTGCTCTCACATCTCACCAGGCAGTCCCTGCCCATCCCCTGGTGCTCAGGAATGTTACCCCTGCTCAGTGCATGCTGGCTAAGGTTTGAGGTGCCAGCTGACTGCTGTTCTCTGAGCTGTGGTTTGCCCTAGCTGGATGAAGGTACCAGGCTCTCAAACAGAGATGCAGAACGGTGTCCAGCAACATTGTGTGGTGAGTCAATGCCGAGGGTCTGTCCCTGAACACAGAGCTCTCCCAGCCTGGCTGAGAAAAGTCCTTCTGGGGTGCTGTGGTCTTGCTTTGTCTCCCCCTGTATCCACCTGCAGCTGCTGGCCTGTGTGGCATCCTCCTCCATGGGGCCTGCCTTTCCAGCCCAGGGAAGAGGCACGGGGCTCACAGTCTTATCACAGAGCTGTGAAGCTGTGTGAGCTGTGTAATCCTAGAAACAGAGTATTGTCCTTCACCACCTTGTGACTGAGAACCCTTCTTTATAATCTTCCCTACAAACATGGGGTTCATTCATTCACCACGGATGAATGCAGAATTCAAGAGCTTGGCTGTGAGGTTGGAGTCCCTGCTCTGGATGGGGAGTTTTCCTTATTTTGCACAGCTTCTGCTTTATTCACAAAGCTGTTTGGATGAAGAATCTGCAAGAAGCAAAGGGCTGTTTCTGAGGTGTTTGTTTGGGCTCGTTTCTGCCTTGATTTGGATTGTATCCAAGCCATGTGGCTGAAGGCACATGATTAGGAATTAAATGGTTGAAAGCATGAGAATTAAGAAATAAGTAAGGACTCTCTTCTAGATGCAGAAATCACAAGGCCTAAAATCTCTGCACTACAGAGATGCCCCAAACACTGCAGCAAATTGTGGGGCTGTTTGATGGCTCATCACTAAGTCCCCATGAGGCTCTGCTGGTGGCAGGGCAGTCTGATTTCACTCACAAAGAAAACTCTGTAGCCTCACTGTTGCAGACAGCCACGGAACTGCAACATCTAGGGGAAGGGGGGAGTTGTATTATGTAGGTAACCTTCTGTGTTTGCAAGCAGCTTACAGAGCTGGCCAGGCCTTCTCAGAATCAATTAGTGAGGCTCATGCATCCTCATTTTTTTTTTTTTCCCAAACAAAACCCATGGGATTCTCTTCTGCATCATTTCCATTTCATGCAAAAACCTCACTCATCTCATCAGGCACTAAACACTACATCAAACTGTTTTCTTACTCCATTGAGACACACAGAAGAATAAAACACAAGCACCTCCCGTTCTTCACTGGCCTTTTGGGAAGTCAGGTGATACTGGGAATGCATCAGAGCTACAAAAAGCACAGAGTAGTGCAGCTGTCTGCTCTGTGATGCTCAGCAGGGAGACAACTGCCCTGCTCATTTCAAGAACTACAAAAAGAGGTGCAGATGATGGAAAAAGATGAAAAGAAAAGCAGGAGAGATATTATATTCCACTAAGACACTTCCAAATTATAAGCTACTTCCAGTTTCGCTGTTCTAGCATTGGTTTTCCCATGGCAACAAGCTCATGCTTTCTCCCAGGAAGGCATCTATGAGTTTCCTTGGAGCTTTATGAGAAATACAACTAGTGTGGAACTCATGTGGGCTGAAGGGGGGTGGCAATGGAGAATGCAAGAGATTTACACTTGCTGGTTAAAACTGTGTCCCGGCTTCTATCTGTTGCAGTGTCATCATGATGTATACTTATCTACTGGGAGTTTGTATAAACTTGGACACTCAAATCAATTGTTTAAAGCACATTCCTCCATTGTCCGAGCCGGGCTTTGTGTCCTTGGGAACCTGTGCACTCTTCAGCTGACATCTGTGCTTTCTACTCTGTCCCTGACCTGAGCAAAGTGTCTCTCATGGCTGTCTGCAGTTGATAAAGGAAATGCGAAGGTAAGGCGGCCTGCTGTGACCTATTCTGCAAGTGCCTGAATCTGAAATTCCCAGAAGCCTGACACAGGAACCACAGGCACCACCTCAAGTCACCTCTCAGCAG